ATGAAAAAACTCGAAGTTATCATCCCTACTAATAATAGTATGTCATTGTTTTAAATATCAAGTTTCCTAATTCGAATATGAAATAGGTAGCATTGTATCAATGAGGCAGACAACGAATGAAAACTATTTACAAAATGCATACAAACCGTTCAAATGTAGGTAACTTATTTGGTCGGTAGGTTCGTTTTCATTAGGTTAAAGAATATTTATTTCTTCTGTTGAGAAGCGCTCATTTAGTGAAAGTAAATTTTATATTAAAAAATATATACAAAGACATGGGTACAAGTCTGTAATAGCTAGGTATGCGTTTCCGCTAGATATATAGATGTATAATATGTGTTTAGCAATCAATTATAATAATATTATACTCCACTTAGTTATCGGTATATCGGTAATTTATAATATACAAATACCTACTACATTTTCCGAATATTTTAAATACCTACCTATCATTTATAACACGTTAGCAATTTTTTGAATAGGTATTTGTACTCTCTATGGTTATCTGTATAAAAATAAAAATGCCTTATAAGAATAACTTCCATAATAACACATCCCCGTACACAAATGAAAAATATAGAAAAGAAACTTTGATAAGTAAAAACAAATAGTTTAAGTAATTATAATCCCTCCCAGTCCCAGGCGCTGCTAAAATGGGGGGGGGCACTGGACCCATGCCCCCAGCCTTTCAAAAATGTTTAATTTCTTAATACATATTATATTTTATATTTCTCCTTGTGAACATTAAATTATTATATTAGATTATTGAATTAGATATCTAACAATTTTAATTTGCCTGAAAAAACATATTATGATATTAATATATGATGTGTACCATGTATAGCAGGGGTGACCAACATGACTATGTACTTGAGCCACATGTATTAATAAAATTTTATCAAGAGCCAAATTATCTAATGTGTACTTCTATACCACAAAAGTAATAAAGATATATTGGAATTTTGGAAGCATATTCCTATATTAAAATACCCAAATATTAAAAACTGTGCGGTAAAATTTATATCAATTTTCGGAACGACGTATTCATGTAAATCAACAATGAAAACAATGAAAATGAAAATAATTAAGTCAAAATATCGTTCAAATTTGACTGATGATCATCTTACAGAATTACTAAGAATTGCTCTTACATCAATTCAACCAGATCTTAAGAAGCTTACTAAAAAAGTAGACACGAAAAAAGTACCACGCAAACAAAATTAGCTTAATGTTTAATTTTTTAATTTATTATTCATATTAATTAATTTTTTTTTTTGTTTGATTTAATCTATATTATATACACTATAATACTATAGCCTTAAATAAATACAATAAAAACATTTTTTTTATAAATGTATACAAAAAAAAATTAAAATATTTTGGTTTTTGTAAATAACATACGCCGCATACGACTGTGACGAGAGCCGCATGCGGCTCTCGAGCCGTGATTTGGCCACCCCTGATGTATAGGAACGTATCGCCAGACCCTAGACCGTGTACTAATTAGTAATTTATGGAATATACCATTATTAGTCAATAATCATAACTCATAAGTCATAACATTGTAATTTGTAACATGTCAAATATTATTTTGTCGACAGACGGTTTACTTATATATCGATGGCTGCATACGAATTGCATGCCAAAAAAAAAAAATGTCCAAATTGCATGCCGTCTCTTGTATTGGTTTGTCCGAATTGCGTGCCATCTCTTGGAGGGGTCTGTCCGAATTGCATGCCATCTCTTAGAGGGCTTTGTCCGGATTGCATGCCGTACACCACACGTTTATTTTACTGTGCACTTAAACAACTTAAACTATTTTTTGAACTTTCAAAATAATAAAATTAATAGACTTTTATGTGTAGAAAAGTTGGCATACATGTCATTGCCGACACTAAAATAAACAAAACTAATTTTTTAATATATTATGACTTTATACTATATAGATAATTATATTATTATAATTGTATTCTACCTATTATTATAATATTATTACCTACTATTATCATTATTATTATTGTTTTTTAATTTATTATTATTATTATTATACTGTAACGTAATTTTTCATTGTAATATTAACCGTTTTAAAAAATGCTATTATACTATTTTATTATTCAAAAAAAGATGTTTCTATATTGACATATTTTATTATTATGAATTATTATTATATAATATTTTGTTTATTTAAATTGTAATATTGTGTGCCCGAAATGTCAAAAAAAAACCACCAAATTTAAAAATAATATTATTTAAGATACACTAAACTACAATAGTTTTATTTAACTAATGGCCTTTGTTGTCGATGAAAAAAAAATAGTTATTTTTTTATGATTCTTCTTCACAGTGTCACCTTCTACAATATTTATATGTTTTATTGTAATGTAACAAAATCCCGATCCTCCAGTTGAAAAGTATGTTATTTATTTGGATATACCCCTCTAAGAGATGGCATGCAATTCGGACAGACCCCTCCAAGAGACGTCATGCAATTCGGACAGATCCCTTCAAGAGACGGCATGCAATTCGGACAGAGCCCTCCAAGGGACGGCATGCAATTCGGATGCACCGATATCGATGTATCATGACGCTGGTATATAGCATAACGACATTCCGAAGAAACACGAAAAATTTAGTGATAGCTAAAAAAATCCCACCCCCCTCCCCTCGGTAAGTCTATGAAGCCACGCCTGCCCAGTTTCCACAGTCCACAACATTTTAACATAAATTAGATAACATTATCTCAAATCCAAATACTGAAATACATACATATTACATATCAATATTAATTTGTAATGGTTTTGATGAACGTTAAGGGAAAGCTTAACAAATGTAGTAACATTTCACAAAAAAAAAAAATTCTTAGTACTTTTCAAAATAATCAGGAATTAAAAAAACTATAGCTAATCAAAAAAAAAAAAAAAAACAAATTCAATTGTAAAACGGCATTATAATTATTCTATTAATTTACATTAAACTAAACTCTCGTCTTCGTTCCCTTAAATTCTTCTTTAACGCAAAATCAAAACTTACACTTCACACTAAACTAAACTTATATAAAACTCTCCTTAAACCCATTTGGGTGTATGGCATCCAAATATGGGGCTCTGTAAAAAAGTCACATATAAACAAAATTCAAATAACCCAAAATAAATTGTTTCGTTTAATAACAAAGGCTCCTTTCTATGTATCAAATCAAACTTTACACTCTGACCTAAAAATGAACACAGTGTTAGAAACCGCTACCAAGTCTTACTCTCGTTACCACAACTCGCTCTTCGACCATCCTAACATCCTAGCTAAAAATCTAACCAATTAAATGCCTGGCAACCCTCCCAAAAGATTGAAAAGAAAGTGGTGCCGCGACCTACTTTCATAATTTAACCTTACGACTCTGACCTGGAGTGTCACCAGTGGGTGGCTTCTCCTTCATGTTTTTCTGGCTGTAATCTTAATTTGTTAACACTTAAGCTTATTATACATAATTTGTATAGATTGTTCAACTCAAAAAAAAAAAAAAAAAAATTTACATTATAATACGTTAAATATAATTTTATAAAAACAATGACCATTGACAAGTAACTGATTGTATTATTATCATAATAAACTATTTAAATATGATATAATAGTGTTTCAAAGACGATTATAAAAACCGTGAACCCGCGTTTTTGGGGTATACAGGGGTACGTAATAATAGCTGAGTCAGATAATAATATAGAATCACGCATACCTACTCCATTTGAACACTAAATAATGCTGCCATTGTTTAATGTACAATTATTTAAAATGTAATACTCAATGAAAAATGTATGTAGTATACATAGGTGTAGGTAGTTTAGGTTTTGTATTTAAAAAATAAGATTTATATTAATACCTATATTATGATTTATATTATGTTGTGTATAACTATAGTGATTAATGGTTAAATTTAAAGTTTAAATAATAATTTATTCAGTCTTGTAAAGTATTTGAGTAAAAGTATTTGAGTAAATGTATTTAAATACTTTTATTGTATTTAGAATACTTTTTAAATACTTTTTGAATAAAGTATTTGGAAAGTATTTTAAATACAGTTTTGGACGTATTTGTATTTGAAAATCAAATACTTTTATTTAAATACTTTATCGATTTTTTTTTCAATAATAAATGATTATTTATTATCTTTTTTCTCAGAAATCAAATTAATATCATGACTAAATAATAATATAGTCATGAGTAATATCATTGAAATTTAGTAAGTTTATTCCCGACATAGCCTCCTAAAATGCAAAATATTATTGTTAAACTCCAAACTATAAACATAGAACCATAATGAAGCGAAACTCAATCAGCTGATTCGGTTTACGACTTTACGTTTACCTATGATCTTATTTTTTTTCCTGTTGAATAATTGAATAGTATACATACGTAATATATACATTAATACAAATATTTTCACTACAGAAATATAGCATTTATAAATAAATTATTTTCTCCCGAAGCTAGGTTTGTTGTGGAGATAAAGGTTCTTATAATATCTATTTAGTTCTCATACAATAAATATTTAAAACGATCATTCGGTGATTATTAACTTATCATACAATTATAGGTACCTTGGTTAGTACCAGAATATGGAACATGCATTATAATATATGAACTATTAAGTATTAACTATATAATAATAATTAATATGTACAGTTTGAATGAGTTTGATCTCATGGTCAAATTTAAAGTTAAAATATCAGAGAAAAAGTATTGAACCCAAAGGTAAAACTTAAAACAAATGTATTAAAAAAAGTATTTGTGTTTAAATACTTTCTAAGTATTTGTATTTGTTCTTAAATACTTATTGAAAAAAGTACTTTAAATACTATTTAAATACTTTTTAAATTGATGTATTTGTATCTCTATTTAAATACAAATTAAAAGTATCTTTTTACAAGATTGAATTTATTACATAATATATATGTTGATTGTGCACAATTAATATTAGATACTTATTAATTGTTTTGAATTTAGATACAATGATTACTTTGATGTTACTGTTGGCTATACTACACACCGGATTGTCGGTCAAAAGCGGATACGAAGAAGTGGAAAAAAATTTACTTAAGAAATTAGGTAAAATGTATACAAATTATATTTAATATTGCAATAATTAATTGGAAATAATTTCATTGAATTATCGTTTTATTATTTAGGTATAACCCGAAGAACTGTAGTAGAGAAAAATATAAAGATACCATCTTCCACAATGGAGTTGTATAAATCCATGCTAGAAGAAAACAATAATGCAATGACAACGCATTTTTCTCTTCCGGGTTTGCACACAGCGTCTGCCAATACTGCTAGCATTTATCCCAACAAAGGTAATTAAGACGTTTTATAATATGGTACCTAGGTACCTACATTATTATATTTTAGATAAATGCTATCTATATACCTATTACAAACAAGTTATAATTTGACATTTAATCTTTTAATTAAAATAAAACAAATTGAATATCACATTATCCTGAGCTAATATATTTTAGAGTATAGTTGAAAAATAATGAGAATAATAATTATTTTAATTTATTTCTATTATTTTTAAAATTAAAAAATGTGTAAATTATAATTTTATTGTTATAGGATCAGCTCCAATTAAAGAAAAGTCTAAGAAATATAGGTTACAGTTCGATATAAATTCTATACCGGAAAAACACCAGGTTAAAGCTGCTGAAGTTCGTTTTCCAATAAAATACGATCAAGTACTACGGAATGGAGAATATATTCATGTGATTTTACATGATATAGTCCAACCTGGCGAGAAGGGCATATCAAAACCTATTCTCAGGTTAGGGGGCGAACAATTATTCTGTATAGGTCAGAGGTATTCAAAATGTTTTATTCCATAGATTCTTAGTCTCTTTACAACATTTTGGTGGCTTTCAAATTAGCAAGGACAAAGAAAGCTAACTATGTTTAAATGTTTAATTACTTATAATAATATATAATATATATATATATATATATTTATATATTATAAATACAATGACAATGATGTCAATACAACTAATTTAATAATAGTTATGCATAGAAAACTGATATTAAATGTTTCACGTTTTGGATTAGTATAAAATATTATATTTCGGTATCATCATTATTTTTATTCCTCTCCTGTGTTAGAAGAGTATACTTCCACAGTTTCACTGACTCAATTAATACTTGTGATGCCCCTTAAAGCCATGACTCACAGTTTGAATACATCTGGTATAATAGGTTTCAGATATAAAATATATAGTGCAAACATTTGAATGTTTTATTATCATTAAATTAATGTCATAATTATAATTATATTTATAGAATTATTGATTCGAAATCAATTAATATGTCAACAATTTCAATGACCGAAAGTTTTGACGTAACACCATTTATAGAAAGACTGTCAAAGAACAATTTCAAAGAAAACCATGGTATACTAGTACAATGCGTCACGGAGTCTGGTAGTCACACACACTTGCTGAGCGTGTTTGATTTTGTATCACCTGAAAATACATTGCTATTAGTCTACACCGATGACGGAACAAGTAAGAATAATGCTATTATAACTAAACGGCGTTTTCAGGTAGCAATTTTTTGTTTAAAAATATCATTATAACTTTATAGGTACATTATCATAGGTATATTATTCGTGATTATAATATTAGTATAACCTTATTGTAATAATATTATAATATTATCATTACAAAATGCTATTAGGGGTGGTCAATTTGATATTTTGTTGAGGCAATAAAAAATAGCTTAAAGTATGAGATGTGGCCCGCTTTCTTAAGCTCGGTCGTTTCTCAGTGCAAATTTTAACACAATTTATAATAATATTATTCAAAATTATTCCTAATGGCGCTACCATACTAATATCTCGGAAGTCGACAGTATTATATTAAGATTTGAGGTCCATTCATCTACGTTTTATTCAATTTTTTCCTTTCTTTTTACCATCTGAACTATTTTGTTGTTAACTGTAATTTTTTTTAAATAGTAACTTACGATTGTCGCTAGAACTAATTCATATTTTGTTGGCCCCCACCGCTATTACATAAATACGCCTGGTACGTTTGTTCATATACTAAATCCGTCGAATACAATATTACTGACATTAAACATGAAAGATAACAATATATTGACATTGGACGATCGTTATAATAAAATAACATGTGACGAATTATAATTATAATAACAATAACATTGCGTCATTGAATCGTTGTTCAGGCGAGAAGAGCTCGCTGGAACGGATGATGCGGAGGCATAGACGATCGGTTAGCGCTCCGGAAAAGCCGCGGAAGACAATTAAAACGACAAGCTGCAGGCGGCATTCGATGTACGTAGATTTCAAAGAAATCGGGTTCAGCGATTGGATCGATGCGCCAAATGGGTACGAGGCGTTCTACTGTCATGGGGATTGCATGTTGCCGTTGGCCGCTCACGTGAACGGGTCCAACCACGCGATAATGCAGATGCTTTTCAACGAATTTAATGCGACGAAAGTTCCGCGGGCGTGCTGCGTACCGACCAAGCTGAAGACGCAGTCGTTGATTTACAAAGACGACAATGGCATTTTGAAGATGAAAAACTGCCCGGAGATGACTGTGGCTGAGTGCGGATGTAGATGAGGGAGCGGCTGTTGTGGTATTGAGCTGCAGTTATATTATAATAATGTACTATAAGAATAATAAATACATTAGAAATGAATAATATTATCTCAAATATAAAAAGTCACTAGGTCCCTAATAAAGATGGAATATCAATCAACGTAGTTAAACAGATTAAAGAATCAATATCAGAGATATTAGCACATAATATTATATTTAATACAATAATATGGGAAGGCACCACACCAGATTCTTTTAAAAGTGCCATAGTCACTCCCATTTATAAAAACGTTGATATAAAACACTAATAAATTATTACATAGCGATAAGCTTACTAAATATTTGTTCAAAAATGTTTGAGTGGGCTATAAAAAAGAGACTTTTAAACTACATAGCAGAAAATAATATCCTACCTAAATCTCAATATGGATTTAGGAAATATCTAGTAATAGAAGATGCCTTAGCACGGCTTTCCGTGGATATTTATAGTGACTTAAACACTAATAAAAAAAAAACATTATGAACTTTCCTAATTCTCAGTAAAGCTTTCTACAGCATTTCTCGTAAATCGTTATTACTTATGCTTAAATCTATAGGTATAATTAATCAGCCACTGAAATTATTAGAATCTTATTTGCATAATAGTAAACAACAAGTGAGAATTATTAACAACACACTTAACGATGAAGTTACAATTCCAACGGGGGTTCCTCAAGAAACAGAATTATCGCCTATTCTATATTATATTATACACATATATATGTCTCTTCATTAGGTCATTTAAATTTTCACGGTAAATTATTTTCTTATGCATACGATATCGTCATTCATATATCAGGGGACAAAGGCAGAAACATACCTGCACTTGATAAATGCATGGTTTATTATACATAGTTTAAGAATAAATTACACTAAATCAAAATCAGTACTTTTACATAGACAAAAGAACGCAACCCAATTACAATTCATGATATAGATAGTTAATCTAATAATTGTTCATGTAATACTATAAATAAAACAGAAATTATTAAATATTTAATCATTACATTTGATCAACGTCTCAAATAACACAATAATAAATCTACGGAAAATGCACTATCTGTGTGTTAACTTAATATTATTAACGAGAGAAAATTCCTAACCGGGTTCTACGTTTAATATACATTGCCATGACACGATCTGTTTTACAATATGCAATAACCGCTATGGGTGGCTTCGGTATTATAGGAAGCAATAAAATATTCAGAGCTCAAAAAAATATAGTTAAAATAATTTTAAATAAACGAAAAACCTATCCCATTAAGGATCTTTACAACACAACAGTTATTTTACAGATATGCAGTATATTATACCTACAAATTTAATTTAATTTAATTCAAACCTAGAATAACACACGTCTAAAAACAACTTAGAAATCCCTACTGTTTGTTTATTGAATCACGTACGTGATGAATATAGTCGATGTTTTCGCAAGTGGGATTACTGATACTCTTGGGCAAATTATTAACAGGATCTACGTCTTACAAAATATACAAACAGTCTATTAAACTATGGTTGTTAAATAATACTAGTGACCTACAGCCTGTGTAATGTACCAGTGTATATTATAATGATTTCTATTTATTTATCTATTCCATTTTTGTGGTTCTTCTTTATATTGTATTAATTTATTGCTATGTATGTTTTTATTATTATTTTATTAGTCGATAGTAACTACTATAGGTGTGTATATTTATTTATTTGAATTATAGTCAAATAAGATGCACTTTTTATGAAAATATCAAAAATATTATAACATTAATTATAAATGTATAAGTACTTATCTTTTAATAGAACTCTTAAGAATTATTATAATTATTATAATGGATGTACCTAATTTACGATTACGATAAGGGAAAAGCTATATTGCAATACCTGGGTGTACTGTGTACTTGATGGTAAGTACTTTATCTGTGTTCATATGTTGGTTTTTTACTATTATTCGTTTTTTAATACATATACATACACATATCAAACATTTTATAATTGCATTAATAACGTGTGAGTCATAATGTACAATGTACATAGATAATTACAAGTAAATATTTACGAAAGGGCATGATTGTAAAGGTAGGTACAAAACAAATATAATTTAGTTTTAATCACGACCCTTGCGTCTAGGACATATTAATGTAAAAAAGAACTAACACGAATTCTCATTACAGGTATTGCTATTCCTACTATTTCAATTAATTATTTATATGTTGTCTTCGTTGGTTTTTTTTTTTAATGGTAAGTACTGCATACTGTATTTTAATAAATATTATTATTATGTAAATATAAAAACGTAATTGCAATATACATTGTGGTTTATTCTTTTTATTATTTTGATAGCTGTTTATCACGACTAGTATCAGTGTGCCATGATTCACAAATGTACTTAAGTCTTACTTAACTATAGTATATTACTTAGGTATATTATTAAGAAAAAATTTAATTGACATTTAAAGAAAAAAAAGAAAATTTGAAATGTCTATAAATAACTCATAACAAGTTAAATTATTTTAATAATGTATTTAAAGTGAAAATAAAAATATCTGGTATAAATGTCAAGTATCCATGGTTATTAGTTTTTTATTAGTTCGGAGAAATAGAGTATTCGTCCAATGTCGTAAAAATTACAACTTACAAAATACTTAAAAAACTAAACTTTACTTTATGATACATTATTAAAAACCTATGAATAATATTCTATTACATTTTGCAATCTGAGATTTAAATAGAAAAGTTTATACGAACTTCTAACTGTAAATAATATATGTATACGTATTTTCGTTATTTTGACAAATTTTGTCAAAATTCCAAATTTAGACGCTCATAAAAAACTATTGTGGATTTATGCTATCTTTTTTAATTTTCACTAACAACAAATTTGTATTAAACTTTCAAGTATTTTTACCGAATGAAAATTGTTTTACTTTAATCACAATAATATCATAACATATAGGTACCTACTTAGCAATATATATATATTACTTTTAGGAATTTCTAACAGAGAAATAATTTACATAATATGAAAAATATTAACGGCTATAAATAGTTCAAAAAGAACCAACATTGTTTGAACATTTTACAGTGTATAGAAAATGTTAATTTTAACATTTGGTGAAAGTTTTAAGTTTCTTGGGTTATTCGTTTTTGAATTAGGTACATCAAAATATCAAAAATTGATGGATGAAAATTCATTAATTTACAAATAAAAATCCAAAATCGTAAAAATTTTAAATTTAAAGCTCAAAAATATGTAACGTTGTCGGGGAACCTTGTTACGATATTAGTTATCCAGAGAAGGTTTTCTATTCCTTATGGATAAGTTTTCCGTAGTTGGGGATTAGAGCACTTTGTATGAGGTACCTACTTTATCAATAATAAGATACTTTTGGTTTATAGATCTATAATAATTATTATATTAAAAATAATACATTATTGAACAATGGACATGTAGATGGCTGTTAATAAGTACATATTATATTATAGGAGAGTTCGTTCCTGTTGATGGTTATTTTCAAACTAACTGCAGTGTGTGATTTTTATAATAACTAATAAGTAATAATGTGTATAGGTCAAAAAGTGTCGAGTTCAAATTGTTTACTCATAAATAATTACATATGTATGGAATGGCTTCCATACATATGTAATTATACAGGGTGTCCCGTGAGGATTTACTCATTGCGATATCTCCTGAAATAATGGAGATATCGTAATTATGTTTTTTTATTAAGACTCTCAGAGGTAAGCACTACAAATATTTTATTTTTTAATTAAATTAAATTTTTTAGTAAAAAAGTTAAAAAATTATTTTTTTATTTTTGAAAAAATTGAAGGTAGCCATTCTATAGACTCTATAGAATGGCTACCTTCAATTATAGTATTATAGTGTATATAATATAGATTAAATCAAACAAAAAAAAAATTAATTAATATGAATAATAAATTAAAAAATTAAACATTAAGCTAATTGTTGTTTGCGTGGTACTTTTTTCGTGTCTACTTTTTTAGTAAGCTTCTTAAGATCTGGTTGAATTGATGTAAGAGCAATTCTTAGTAATTCTGTAAGATGATCATCAGTCAAATTTGAACGATATTTTGACTTAATTATTTTTATTTTCATTGTTTTCATTGTTGATTCACATGAATACGTCGTTCCAAAAATTGATATAAATTTTACCGCACAGTTTTTAATATTTGGGTATTTTAATATAGGAATATGCTTCCAAAATTCCAATATATCTTTATTACTTTTGTGGTATAGAAGTACACATTAGATAATTTGGATCTTGATAAAATTTTATTAATACATGTGGCTCACGTACATAGTCATGTTGGCCACCCCTGCTATAGAGTATATTTTTGTAAACATTTTATTTTCATTAATCTCATGGTTTTTAATAATTTTTTTAGTTTATTAGGAAAACATCAATAAACTGGTTTTTGTCCTTGCGGCGAGTCCCCCTCTACGGCTAATGAGTAAATCCTCACGGGACACCCTGTATAAGTTAAACATTTTTTTAAGACTAGAACGTTTTCATATATTTTTCAAAGGTTTGCGATGGTATCTAAAAAAACAATTTTGAAATGCAGTAATTTGCCTATATAAAACTCCTTTAAAACTAAATGTATTCGATAATAATATGATGAAATACAGTGTGTAAACTTTAATCCCATATATCCCCCCTAATTATAAATAAGGATTTCTAAAAAAAAAAATTTGTGTGCATAGATGGTACTATTTGGTATCATGTAAATTATACCAGTGGGTGAATATTATTATTATTTATGATATATTTTCAAATATAAATTGTTATAAATGTTTATGCAGTATTATAGTTCTCATAATTTTCAACCGTACTTATACTTTTGCAAGGAGCTTGCTGCTATTTTCATATTTGGACTGATTAAAACGTCGTGTCATAATTAAATTTAAAGAATAACCATACCTACGGTGGTAAAAGTGAGTTAAAAAAAATAACAAGTTAAGTTCC